GTAGCCGCGAAGAAGGACGGTCCTGATGTCCAACCCGATCTATCTGCTGATGATTTAAATTCTTTTTTTGTATCTGTCGGTCCTCGTGTCGCTGACGAGATCCGAGTCCAAAACGCTCCCACCGATCTGGATGTGCGTCTCACCCGTGTTGGCGCATGCGGTTTTCAACTTCGTGAGATATCACTGGGGGAGCTCGAGCAGATTATTTTCAACATGCGTAGCTCGAGTGCTTGCGGCTCCGACAACGTCTGCGTCCGCATGCTGAAAGTCGGATTTCCCGCTATTGGTGGTGTCATCTTGCATATTATTAACACCTGCTTAATCCTATCTGATATCCCCGACTCATGGAAACATTCCATAGTTCATCCACTGTTCAAGTCCGGTAACCCTTCAGACCCCGCAAACTTTCGACCCATATCCCTGGTTCCTGTAGTCATGAAAGTAGTTGAACGCATTGTCCATCAGCAGCTCTACGCCTATCTCTCTCATAATTACCTTCTGGCATCCTCACAGCACGGCTTCCGCCCTCGGCACTCCACGGAAACCGCGTTGCTGTCCGTCACTGAACACATTCTGGCCGCCACCGATAGAGGGGATCTGACAATGCTGTGCCTTCTCGATCTCAGTAAATGTTTTGACGTGATCGACCATGCTCTTCTGATGCAAAAACTGATGTTGCACGGCATCGAAATTTCCTGGTTCGCCGCCTATCTTCATGGGCACACTCAGAGCGTGTCATTGAAAGATGGATCCGGGCGTAGAGTACTGTCTCGACCTCTCTCGAATACCATGGGTGTCTTCCAGGGTTCTGCGTTAGGACCGCTTCTTTTCACCATTTTCTCTAACAACTTATCACTATACGCCGGCGACGCGGATGTGTTTCAGTATGCCGATGACACACAAGTATTGGTTAGTGGTCCAGCTCGGCACCTCGAAGCTCTCATCTCACGCATGGAAGATTCGCTCGCGTCACTTAACGATTGGTTCTGCGCTAACGCCCTCAAAGTGAATGCAAGTAAAACACAGCTCATTGTATTTGGCAGTCGTCAAAATCTACGCAAATTACCAGACTTTAGAGTATCATTCCGCGACGCAGCGTTGCAACCGTGCGCACAGGTGGGGAACCTTGGCGTCACTTTCGACTGCACTCTGTCATGGGACGCTCACATCTCCGAACTCTGCCGCCGGTGTACGGGTCTGTTGATTGGTCTCTCACACGCGCGCCACTGTCTCCCAGATGGCATCATTAGAATGCTCGTGACGGCACTCGTAGTATCGCGTATCCGGTACTGTCTGTCAGTTTATGGTAATGGGTCCCAAAAAAATTTTGATCGACTCCAAAAAATCCTTAACTTCGCCGCTAGAGTTATTTTCGGCCGACGTAAATTTGACCATGTCTCTGACCTGCGAACAAAACTCGGCTGGTTATCCCCGCGCGGTATGGCCGATTACCAAACCCTTGTCATCGCACACAAAGCCATACAGTGTCGAGAACCCGAGGAGCTAGCAGCCCTGTTCGTTACTAACAGCGCTATCCGCGAGCGTCAATCCAGACAAGATTACCTCTTCCATCTTCCGCGTCCGCGCCTGGAAACAGGCAAGCGGCGGTTCGGCTATCGAGCTGCAGCTCTGCTAAACAGCCTACCACCTCACCTGTCACAGTTGCCTCCCGCCCGCTTTGCCCGCTCTGTTAAAGCCGCGATCGTGAACGGTGAATCAGCACGTCGCTGACCAACAGTATGGGGGTGGGTAAGAGGGACGAGGCTCTCCTGAATGTGTTTTGTTCTGTTTTGTCCGTGTTTTGACGTGAGTGAATGTGCAAATGTTATGAATGAATGATTAGATTAGTAACCGCGGATACGGATTCTGAGCAGTAATCGCCACGCATGTTGATTGTGGATCCATAGGTGTAGCAACGTATCTCTTTGGTGAAGGATACCTTTCACCAAAGTTTCAGATTGGTGAAGGATCCTTCACCAATCTTGGACAATGCAAGTGAGGGTCTTCACCTACCTATGCTTAGAACTACTGGATTCGACGGTTGATGAAATGTCTGTTTTTTAACCCGCGCCCTGCTGGGGGTCCTGGATTTCCACGCCCTGCTGGGGGGGGGGGGTTTGAAACCCCCCCCCCCCCTCCTAACTCGGCTCCTGGGCCACGTAGCGATACGCGGAAGGCGGCGTTTTAAAGAGCACCAAAAATAATGACGAAATCACTTCGGTCACTTTTTTGGTCAGGTCAAAGGTCAGGTCACCAGAGGTCATTGAAGGCAAAATTTCGCCGATTTCCAGGTCGAATGTCGACAATTTCCAAGAAGCCAACGCATACCTCGGGAACCAATAGAGCTACAGCTCCGCGGAAAAGCGCATTCGATAGCCCTATTAACGCCCTTTCTGAGTAATCTCTCAGATTTGACCTAACGTCAACGGTTCTGCGTGCAGGGGGCAAAAACTGCCAAAATAGACGATTTTTCCGGAACAGTTTTTCTGCAATAACTTTTGACTCAAGCCTTGCCCGAGCTTTCTTTTACCGACATCGTGTTCCTCTTGTCAAGACGCATCGAATGAACTATAATTTGACATTGAAAGTTCAACTTAAAAATTTTGCCTCTGGTCAAGGTCATGATTTGACCGGACATTGTCATGTTGCATACTAGCGGTGTACCAAATTTGAACGCAATCGGCCCAGCCGTTCCTGACATCTGGAAGCGGCATTCTGCACGTGCGCACGTGCAAACGGGGTCCAAAATGACTTTTGCACGGCACCCTACTAACCGGTCCCCAGCCGTGTACCAAATTTGAGCGCAATCGGCCCAGCCGTTCTCGAGATCTGGAAACGCCCCCTGCACCTGCGCACGTGCAGTAGCACCCTAACCGCAACACATAGGAATGCATTGCCTGGTGGGTGCCTACCTGTATGCCAAGTTTCAGCGAAATCGCCCCAGTAATTACCGAGTTACTGAAATGGGAACAAATTTGGCACCTCTTATTGTTGTATTTTGCACGTGCAGGGGGGGGGGGGTCACTCACATAGATGAAGAGTATCCGACATTTGGTAGAAGGGATGCAGCTACCCTATAAAAATGACCGCAAGACAATCGCTCAAGCCGCTGCTGAGATATGGGCCTCTCAAAATCATTACTTTTGCAAAACTGCTTGAACACCCTTGACTTTTCACGTGGCACGTGCCACGGCGGTCACTGAGATGTATCAAAAGTAGTCAATTACGGGGTAGAAGGGATGGGGCTACCCAGCAAAAAAGACCGCAGGCCATTCGGTCCAGCGGTTGCTGAGATATAAGCCTCTCAAAAGCGTTACAGGCCGGGCCGGGCCGGGCCGCTCATACTGAGATTTTTCCGTTATATTGAAAAGACTTCGCTTCGCTCGCTGCGCTCGCTCGCTCGTAATTAGTGGATCTGTATCGTAGAGCTGAACATATATAAGGCGTTTTCATCGCTCTAGCATGCCTCTTTCAAAAGTTAGTCGCAAAAAACTGTTAGATACCATTCGTGACCTGAGATGACCTTAGGGGCATAAACAGGGGTCACGGGTGCCGTTTTCATGTTCAGTGTGTCAAAGTTACCTGTAATATAGTTTTTGACAGTGTTTAGAATGACTTTCGTCCGAAAAAGACGGTTTTGAATTTTCTCCCATTGACTTAGGTCGCAAAATTGACCCGACCTTAGGTCACCGATATGAAAATTCCGAATTTTGTACATACTGTTGCACTTATCAATTGCTGAAAGCTTCAAAGCGATCCGTCACTTGGTGTAGCTATGGCATACATTGAAACATTTTATGATGTGTTTATGCGGTGAGGTCACTTGTAGCGACCTGGTGACCTGACCTTGAAGGACCCTGGTCTGAAATTTTCACAAAATGTATAAAATTGATAGATGATAAGGTGCCGCCGTTTTTCAGATATCCGCGAAAAACCGCAGGGGGGGTGTTCAAAAACCTCCCCCCCCCCCTCCCAGCAGGGCGCGGGTTAACACACTTTGACCATTTGCCCCAGTAGTCAAAATTCCTTAGCCGAGGCCCTGATTTACATCTTGCTGTCATGGCAAGATGCGCAATTCAATTTTAGGCAGGCATTGAAAATTTGACGTTAATGGGATGATATCTGCGAAAAACAAGGGGTTGGCGAAATTCGCTCCCCCCCCCCCCCCCCCGCTTGCACTGTGCGTGTTGGTTGGCACGGTCCTGTCCCTTTTCATAAGGCTCAGGTGGCATCCTTCACCAATATTTTTGGCGCTCCTACACCCATGTGTGGATCGCTCTTAAATGTAAATACAATACAATACAATACAATACAATAAATAGGTATATCTGCGTGTTACGCTTGTGGGATGCTGCAACGCATTACTTCTCATTTCTTTGACGGTGAACAGGACACTGAGGAGCCTGTACGGAACTGTTCATCACTATGCCTAATAATATGTTTCCTTAGTTTTCACGACGCCTCTTTCTGAAGCATCAGATTTTTATGTTCATGTTGTTATACCCCGTCCCCAGCATTCCTACCATTACTCGCCGAGTAGTGATGAGGAAGCCTACCATCCTATCTCGCACGGCAGAGCCATGTCTCAACGTCAAAGAGCAACGTCCAATGACCAGTGTGTACACAAACAGCTGCTGCCTGGCCTCGGCTACCGCGGAACGGTGCATTCAGTAGTCAACAATACACTATTAGCAACTTCAAACGGACGTTTGTTCGTTTTTTGGAGCTTTAATCTTTGCGAGGAGAGTTTCCCGAATAACAATTTCCCAGATGTGGATCAAAAGTCTACAATGACGCTAAGGGCATACCCAAGTGTTCCAGAACGGAAGGCACGTAGACACATTCATACCCAAGTGTTCCAGAACGGAAGGCACGTATCGTACAAAGGTCGACTGACGATCTCCGATGTTCGGAGTGGTGACGGTCTCCCCAATAAGAGCACCACTCCCGCTGCCCGTCCACCGTTTGCCGGCGCTGTACGCGTGAGTACAGTCCCGCTGGAGTTCATTTCTCTGTATTTTGTACAAGACTCCGACCGGGCTGCGAGCGTGAGGATGAAAGACGACCCCAGGATGTGATGAGCGCTCAGATGATCCACACCGCTGCGGCCGGCCGCTCGCCGCTGCTCCGGACACAAACAAAACTCGGACACAGGACCGACAGAGTCCGGACACATCCGGAAACAGGCAGGATCCCGGACACATGCAGGATCCCGGACACAGGCAGGATCCCGGACACACGGCCGGCATAACTGAGGATACGGAGGCGACTCAACTCTGGACTCGTGATAGTTATGGGCTCGTGCCGCCCCTCACTCAGTCACTCACTAGTCACTCAATCACTCGCTCTCACTCGCTGAACCACTTGCTTTCACTCTCGTTTCATGGCAGATTCGGAATGGCATACCACTAAACTAAACTAAACATGTCATACAAATGCGCCGAGGTTTGTTCGTTCGCCCGAGCGGTATCGCGCCAAACATCGGGCCAGTGGGGCGAGTAACAAAACATAACGACTGGCCTGAGTTGGCGCTGCTGGCGGGTAGCGGACTACGTTGGGTGCCACGCCGGCCCCGAGGCAGCCAGAGCCGCTCCTCTGATATTCAGTGACCAAGCTGCCACTGCACTGGAGCGGTAGTTTCCTAGACAGTCGCTGTAGCCTCTAAATAGCGGGACACGACAGGGGTCGTCAGATATCCACGTTCGAGCCAGTCCCCTGTAACAGTCCTCAACGCACCTCCAGTCATCCACGCGCCATTTCCATAATTCACCCAACTTCCACCGCCGGGCGCTCCTCCTACATGAGTAGCCACACGGTCCCTGTGCCGCATTTACCCCTGGACCCCACCACTTTCTAAACTCCGCTCCACCGCACCCACCAGCGCCCTCAGAGAGTGGTCCGCGGCGACCCAGCCCTCCACAAACCCTCCCCGAGAGGCAGACCTCACACGGCACACATCACACCATCGCAGCACTGCGCCCGGCGACAGAACACTCACCCAGAGTCCCACGGAGTCTCAGACGGCGGCGGAGACCGGGCGGCCGGGGTTGGACCCCATGGGACCGCCCGCCGCGGACCCGGACCGGCCCACCGCGGGTCGGTGGTCACAGGTCCACACCTGTGGTAATCTGGTCACAGGTCCACGCCTGTGGTAATCTGGTCACAGGTCCACACCTTTGTACTTGTTTCACGTCGGCCTCAGCGCTGACGAGTCCTGAATGTGTTACATCGCTGGCTGAGCAGGATGTCGGAGTATTTCAGCTGCCCGCACGGCCGCTGAGTCGGGTCACACCAGCCGCCGGCTCCGCTCGTACTGAATCGAGCAGCCGCGGGCCGAGTGCGACCACAGCGACAGGGCCGGCGGCGGCCGACACTAATCGTTCCACCGCCCGCCGCTAGGGGCGCCGGCCTCACGACTTGTTGAAGTTGCTCTGAAGCATCCTGCGGTACGCCTCCACATTGGCCTGCGCCTGTTCCCTGCTCATTCCCGGCATACTGGGCATCATGGACATGCGTTGCGCCATGAGGCTCTGCAGCGCCACTTGCTGCTGGGCACGCTGCAGCTGCTCCAGGCCCGCCGTCTTCCCCCCGCCGCCGCCGCCGCCGCCGCCGCCCGCCGGCAGCCCGGCCATGTACTGGAGCATCTGCGGCGGCAGGGAGGTGCTGGCCATGTGCAGTGCCATCAGCTGCTCCACGGAGCTCAGCGGGGCCGCCGCCGCCGCCGGCGCCGCCTTGCCCACCGGTGTGATGGTGATGGAGCCGATCCGGGTGGGTTTGAGCAGCGGCGCGGCCGGCGCCCCCTCCTCGCCAGACGTCAGGTCGATCACCTCGATGTCCGGTGAGCTGGGCTCGGACGGCACGGGCTGCGCCGGCGCCGACGGCGGCAGCGGCGTGATGGTGATGGAGGGCCGCGACTCGGCCAGCGCCGAGAGCATGGCCGCGCCCAGCGCGCTGGTGGCCGGCCGCCGAGCCGCCTCCGCGGACGAGTAGGTGCGCCGCTGCTGCGGCCGGCGGGTCAGCGCCGGCGGCGCGCCGTCCAGGATGTGTCCCGGGTCGGCCCGCGGCGGCAGGGGCAGTGTCTGGCCGCGGTCGTAGCGCTCGAACGGCAGCAGCAGCCTGCGGGAGGGAGCAGACGGAGGGAGAGAGTGGTTAGAAGAGGGCAGCACGTGCAGCAAACTCAGTCACCACAGAGACGAAAGAGATACGGCTACAGACAGTCGTCAGTACGGGCAGTGGAGGGTCTGACTGCATCACTGCAGACACTGATCCCTCAAACAGCTGTAATAGCAGTACGGAGTAGACACACAATTCTTCGACAGCGGTCTGTAGCAGCTTCAGTCATATTCCCCAAACAACTACACACGTGCAGCGGCGGTGCAGACACGCACCTCTCAAACAGCCGCCTGCAGTGGGTGACGCCGGTGGCGTTCTGAGGATTTCCACCCAGCTCCTGATAGATCCGCTTCCAGAGGCGCACCGAGCACACAGACTGGTAGCCACCGAGCTCCTGAACGCGCCGGTAAAACTGGTACAGGTTCACTGCCGGACGGAGAGGGGTGGGGATCAGAGCGGCCATAGAGCCCAGAGCTTCAGGTCTCAGAATTAAGGAGAATTACTGTGAACTGAACAACAGATGATACGGAATGCAGTGTCTATGCTGAGTCCTATACTGTGGCCCCGACGTATTACAGGTTTTACGTTTTGGCACGTTTTACGCGTCCCAAGTTATCCCTGGTGAATAGTTCCAAATTTTCACAGTAAATCTTCTAAAGTGCTTCGAAAACGTGGTAAGCTAGCCACCTCGTCCCAGCAGCTACTGACCATTCTGGAGTCCGAGGTTGGGCAGCCGGCCCAGGTTCGGCGTGTGTCCGCCCTGCCGGAGCACCTGTCCCAGTCGCTGCAGGAACTCCTTCTCGCCCCAGCGGTACGACTTCAGCTGGTACAGCGGCTTGGGGTTGGGCGTGAGGCCGCGCATCAGCGTCGGTCGGCCCGGGCCGCGACCGGCCACCCCCACAGGCAGCCGCACCTGGGGACGGGGAGGGAGGTCAGAGGGCGGCGGGTGTCAGCGGTTATCATAGGGGGGACGGTGGACAGACAGACGTACCTGAACACAGCGAGAGAGGCGCAGCTCCTGCAAGCAATGTGACCAAAGCCCTTATGTCTCTTAGGAGCATTCTGACCTGAACCGGCCAGAAGTTTCTAACAGTCTGACCTGAGCCGATTAGTCTCTCCAGCCTCTCTGACCTGAGCCGGGCACCCCGACCGCTGCCCCGCAAAGTCTGACCTGAGCCTTTCCACCTGTGACTATCCCGATTCTTGGAAGCACTCCCTTGTCCATCCCATTTTCAAGTCCGGTGATCATGATCTGATCTCCAACTACCGTCCTATTTCGATCGTCCCCACCATAGCCAAAGTTGTCGAGCGCCTAGTGCACCGACAACTTTCCGCCTACATGTGTGACAATCACCTCCTTTCCTCATCCCAACACGGTTTCCGTTCTCTCCATTCCACCGAAACCGCTCTGCTCTCTGTAACCAACCGCACTTTTTCCAACACGGACCGTGGTCTCATCTCCCTCCTCTGCCTTCTGGACCTCAGTAAATAGGTACTAAATGCTTTGACGTCATTCCGCACTCACTGCTAATTTCCAAGCTCCAGCTCTATGGTATCCACCCGACCTGGTTTTCCTCCTACCTTACCGGTCATACTCAGTCTGTCTGCATCTCTTCTCCTTCCGGTGGCAGAGTGGTTTCGAAGCCCCTTCCTAACACCATTGGTGTCTTCCAAGGATCAGCCCTCGGTCCTCTGTTATTCACCATTTTCGCCAACGACCTCAGTCTGCACGCGCCGGGCGCTCATGTGACCCAGTACGCTGACGATACCCAAATCCTTATCTCCGATACCAAACAAAACCTTCCTAACCTTATCCAACGCATGGAGTCTACTCTCACCTCCTTGGCATCGTGGTTCCATGCCCACGGACTTAAACTCAACACATCCAAAACGGAAATCCTCCTCCTTGGCACCCGACAGAGTACCAGAGATCTCCCTCCTGTCAGCGTACGGGTCGGTGGCGGGACCGTTCAGGAGAGCCCACATGTTAAAAACCTGGGGGTCATTTTTGACCGCCACCTTACGTGGGATGCCCATGTCAATGACGTGGTACGCAGATGTGTCGGCCTCCTGATCGGTCTCCGCCACCTGAGGCGCCTCCTCCCGCGGCGGGCGCTTCTTACAATCGTGCAGGGCCTGGTCGTCTCGCGCGTGAGATATTGTCTGTCTGTGTACGGGAACGGCTCCGCGGCTAACGACTTAAGACTGTTAAAGGTAGTGTGCCACCTTTGAATGATTTCCCATTTTATTTTTCCTAGGATAAGAAGCTTCTGTTTTTACATAATATCGCAAAAAAAAAAATCAAAAATGGGCCTGGAATAGTGCCTTTTTCGCCTAAAAGTTTTTCGGTTTTTAGATATGTATAACAACTGTAGTGGGCTCACCTGCAAACAGGCGTCGGGCAACAATCGCGAATGCGGCGCACTTGTGACAATAAGCAAAGGTCATTATAGTGTTACGACCATACGACGTACGGGAATGAGTTATCAGCTGTCTAATCGTAGACAACACAATGTCGAGCCTTAAACTGTAAGCCCGTATTGGTATTGTTTCTTTTATTTGGCTGTCGAACATTATTTATGGTTTGAAATATGATTTTATGTAAAATAATTGATATGAAAAAGCCGTCTTATAAGTTATGACCCCATTTCACCACACGCAAGTGGCAGAAATGACAATGATCAGCTGACGCATTTTTCTTGGCCGAAACACGCAGAGCGCGCGGCCCGACGCACCACGCGTATTTGGAAATTCCGACCTCCACGAGCATCAGAAGCCACCTAACAGGCGTGTTCGAAACCGCAGGAGATGATGATGAACGGGTTTACCGAAACTTGATTGGATGAGCATATCGGTAATAGCGATTTCAGTGTGTGCATTTATTGTTCATAGTGGTGTGAAATGTGGTTGGGGTACGACCGACAACCCGTCGGGGCGAATTTCGCACTGGGGTACTCAAAATTTGAAGAATTTAAGACGTTTCCATGAGTTTTGAAGGTATGGATGAGTTCTAAAAATCCGGTTCTCCTTATCTGGGCCATTAACTCCATACGGTCCAAGAAAGCTGGCACACTACCTTTAAAGGTTGTGAATTTTGCCACCAGAGTAGTAGCCGGTCTCCGCAGATACGACCATGTGTCTCGCGCGCGGGGCGACCTGGGCCTGCACACACCGCGCCAGATGTGTGACGCGCAGACTGCGATTGTGGCACACAGGGTGCGTGCCCTGGCGGATCCCGAGGAGCTCGCCTCACTGTTCGTTTCATTCGCTGATGCACGACAGTGTGATCGTTCTACCAGACAGGACGGGGACCTGCGTCCGCCAGCCACCAGAACAGCGGCCGGGCGGCGAGGTTTTGCCTACCGAGCTGCATCGCTTTTAAACTCTCTACCTAATGATGTGACACGGCTCGAGCCATCAGCTTTTAAGCAGGCTGCAAAACGTATATTTTATTCGGAGTGAGTGTGCGTGGGTTTGGTGTTACTGGTGTGTGTATGTGTGGGTGTGAGTGTGTTGCTGAGCCAGACGATTGTTATGTTCTACCTTGTACCATTTTGACTCTCCCAACCGTTTTATTGATTGACAATGGACACGTAATAGCCACTCTGTTGTGGAGTGTCTGCTGAAGTGAATATATGAATATATGAGCCGGGCACCCCGACCGCTGCCCCGCAAAGTCTGACCTGAGCCGGGCACCCCGACCGCTTCCCCGCAAAGTCTGACCTGAGCCGGGCACCCCGACCGCTTCCCCGCAAAGTCTGACCTGAGCCGGCGCCAGCCGGTACGGCAGCCCGTTGTCGGTATCGGAGGTAGATTCGGAACTGGGCGGCGAGTCCTCACTGCGGGCCTTCTTCTTGGTGCGGCCCTTCATCTTTGGCGCTGCAAAGGTACATAGCGTCAGACAATGGGTCATGAGACCAGCAAGGACACGGCGTCTCTCACATTGCAGCTAACGTTACCGTGAACCCGTCAAACAAAGAACAATCTCCCGGAGGCCAACATGCTATAGGCAGGAGGATTCGCCCATACATTAAACAAAAATAAGCAAACACCCAAACGGCGTTGGGCGTCGAAAAGCCGCGTCAGTGGGCGGCGCTCTTTGGTGTCTCTCACCGAGGTGGTTGCAGAAGATCTCGTGACAGTCGAGCTCGGGATATTCGAACTGGTCTCGGCAGTAGAGCAGGCGTGTATTCCTGCTGGGGATCTGGAGACCGCCCAGCGCCCGCACCAGGGCGTGACGGTACACCTGGGGACTCACCGACTCCAGCCTGTGGACAGGGGTAGATGTACACTCAGACGGGTGTAACGGTACACCTGGGGACTGACCGACTCCAGCCTGTGGACAGGGGTAGATGTACACTCAGACGGGTGTAACGGTACACCTGGGGACTGACCGATTCCAGCCTGTGGACAGGGTTAGATATATACTCAGAATAGATGTCAGTGCACGCCTGGGAGCCTGTGCATGGGGACGGCTACACTCCGATCTGCTAGAAACCCAGACAAACAACGTTGCAACCCAGATACTGCCTAGAAGGCAAGCTGATATTTTATCGATAGCTACCACTGGAGAAATGTTAAATCAGACAGTCTGGTGCGTACTGCGTACCTCTTCATGACTCCCCTGGCGCGGCAGTACTGGTCGTAGCTGAGTATCAGAGCACATGGCTCCTCGGCAGCGACCGTGTCACCTGGAGCGAACACAGAGGTCAGGTCAGTTACCGGGACAGGGACCGTGACACAGAGGTCAGGTCAGTTACCGGGACAGGGCCGTGTCACAGAGGTCAGGTCAGTCACTGGCACAGGGGCCGTGTCGCAGGGTCAGGTCAGTCACTGGCACAGGGGCCGAAACACAGAGGTCAGGTCAGTCACTGGGGCTGGAACGTGACGCAGAGGTCAGGTCAGTCACTGGGGCTGGAACGTGACGCAGAGGTCAGGTCAGTCGCTCGAACGGAAACGATAGCGCCGAGACTGAGACCCAGATGGTCAGGGTGACAGGTCATAGCGTCAGAGAACTGTGTACCTCCACACCGACCAACAACAGTACAACACCGCTCCACACAGCTCTTAAAAAGGCTATCTGTTTCCGTGCAACTTTACAGAATTATACCCAATCGCACATGTCTCTGTCCGACTTCTAGCAGCAGCTCTACAACGTACAGCTGTAGCTGTACAGCTCGAGGAAGGTCAAGGTAACTCCATGCCAAGTCCTGCATCTCCCTTAGACTCCTGACACCCCTCCCCCTCCCCCAGCGTGACCCTTTAGTGCCTGTGTCCCCTGTCTAGCTCTGTGTCTCACCCATCTCCCGTTTGGCCCTGTCCACGTCTGCCAGCCGCAGTCGGCCGGAGGCGGCGGCCGCTCCTGAGGAGCAGAAGGTGGCCGGCGGCGCGCTGGGGTCGTGCGCGGCGCCGGCGTACCATCCGGCGGTCCATCGCGGCGGGCGCACCACCACGTCCACCAGCTCCTCCAGCCGCACCGTCAGCCGCTCCTCCACCGCCAGGATCTCGTCCTGCGGAGTGGTCAGAGGTTAGAGGTCAGGGGGTGAGAGGTCAGAGAGTCCGATGGCAGAGGGTGAAATTGAGAGGGTGAGTGGTCAGAGGATGACGGAATAGAGGAACACCATAGTCAGAGGGCAAAGGGAGGCACGGATCAAAGGTCATCGGCAAAAGGTCACCAGCGAAATGTCACGGGTCAACAAAGGTCACGAATAAAAGGTTACGATTTCAAATTGCATGAGTCGGGATAGCGAGTCAAAGGTCACAGGTCATGGGTCACGAGTCAAATGACGTATGTTATAGGTCGCGGAAACACATGGATCGGCACAAGAAGAAGCTTTCCACACAGAATCTGTTGGATTCAGGCAGGGATGACGGACTGGCCCGCTGCCAGCCGGCCGGCCGGCCTCCTCTGAAGGCCGCTGCTCACCGACCGCCCCTCCCCCCCCCCCCTGGCAGAAAGGGAGGGGAACACCACATGCAGTGGCGGGGGTTACAACCTCCCGGACAGGGGTGACGGGCCAACTGAGAGGAACAAAGCCACCAGGCGGCAGCCCTGTCATGAGGGAGTGAACAGCCTAGGGGGCACCGGCTGGAAACATGCATGATTTCACGTTTCAGCTACACATTCAATATGAAAATCAATACCTACCTTTACCTAGGACCTTTTCCATCTGCATCACAATCCTTCTGATATTCTCTTCCGTCTCCGTAGATTGAGAAGCCATTTACGCATTATTAAACAACTCATTTGATTTTAATTCTTTCATTGATCCCGTGATGAATGTTCCATTATATTTGCATTGCTCTCATGTTAGTACTGTGGCAAGTACACATAAAGTTTCTTGCATCTCGCTCAAAGAAATTCAATTCACGACTTCTTCAAAGAAAAAACGAAAAATTGATAGTGCAGCATAACAAAATGACCGTAAACAAAACCAAACCTAAAACAACAGCAAAAAGCAACAACAGCAACGAGCGGCTACCAGCAAATAAATAACAAATGATAACTAATGCCGCATGAAAACTATAAAAAACTATCATTCAATGAGAGTTGCCCTGTATTCACTTCACCCGTCAGACCCGGTGCTGCTGTGCTACCGTCCGACCCGACCCGGTGCTGCTGTGCTGCCATGTTGTACGGGCGGGATCGATCGAACAGTGGGAGGCTCTCTGACGCCCCGGGCACTCAGGGGGAGGCCTCAGAACAGCGGAAACTTCTGAGGCTCCTGGGGCACTCAGGGGGCAGCCTCAAAACAGCCGGAGAACTCATCCCTGACACTATTCAAGGCACTCAGGGGACGACCTCAAAACAGCGGGGCAGTGATCCCTGACCCCGCCCCCGGGCACTCGGTGACCTCACTCCGCCGGAACACTCATATGCCAGCCCCGGGACACTTAGGACTCGGGAGTGACCTCAGTACAGCGGGAACTATTGTATCACTCCTCTGCCCGCCTGCGGGGCCACCTTACCCCAGTTGGATGCCACTCCTCTGACCTTTTACTCCAGCAGGACACCTCTCTTCCCCTCCCCATACGGCCTATCTGATATTGGATATCTGATAGCTGCTATACGTGTGTGACCGGTCAGCGATAGTTCAGTGATGTTCAAATACAGATTAGATATGGATAGAGGCAGATAAAAATCCAACAGGGGGGCACAAAGGTTAAACCATTCACTTGTAACGAAGGAATAGAACCATGCAACTGAAGCCAACACCGCAAAAAAGGTTTTATTTACCTGTTTTTAACCCGCGCCCCGCTGGGGGGGGGCAGAATCTGCCCCCCCCTCCCGTTTTTCGCCAATAACTTCTAAACGCGTTACGCCAGCGACGTCAAACTTTCAGTACCTTATCATACATCAATTTGACACGTTCCCTGAAAATTTGAGCGAAATCCGTCGGAAAATTTTTGAGAAATTGACGTTTTAGTGACGTCATGTTCGCCATTTTCGCCTAAAAAACGGCAAAATTTCAAACGCCGCTAACTTCTTCATTTTTAAAGGAATCAAGACGTAACAAAAAAGGTTATACGTGATTCTACTTTGTCTATCAAGTGGCTATCTCGGTTTTTTGAAAATTTTGGATTTTGGCCAAAATTTTTCCAAAAAACTGACTTTTTTGGGAAAATATTTATAAAATCCAAAATTTTGAGTTTATCGAAAAAAACCGGAATATATGTCAAAGAAGTGGTCCATGTGCACCTACATACCAATTTTTAGAAGAATCGGTTCAAAAATGTGGGAGTTATTCAAAATTTTATGACGTCACGACACACAAAAATTTTGAAAAATGATTTTTTTGGAAGTTCTAGACCTCGTACGGAAATAAAAATAGCACCATTCGATTCGCCGTGAAAAACTGCATCGGATAGACACCTTTTTAGGCCTTAACAACCAACTTCAAAATTTGACCTCACTTGACCTGACCTTGACCTGACCTCGACCTGAAATTCATCCAGAGGTGGTCCATATCACTTATTGAGTGTGCCTATTGAATTCCATGAGTAAAATGACCCATAAAACATGTGTCGCACATGCCCTTTTCTATATTTTGTTTTTGGTGACCTGACCTGACCTGACCTGACCTTGACCTTGACCTTTGAATGACATTGTGTGCAACGAATATTGTCTTGGTAGTCTAAGAACACGTTTTGGGCAATCAGTCTCAGTCCATTCTTCGGCAACTACGGTGCAAGGCCGATACTGTAGAAACTTGCATTTTGTACCCTTGACCTGACCTTGACCTGACCTCTGACCTACTTAAGCAAAAAAATTTGGGCTCTTAAGATCCGCCTTGTTGAGAGCTTTCGATTGCCGTTTTCCCCGTCTTTCTACGACCATCGGTTCGGAAGTTAGACAGGGGGGGCAGAATCTGCCCCCCCCCCCCCCAGCAGGGCGCGTATGGCTGAATAGCCCAGCGGGGCGCGGGTTAAAAGACGTGCCATTAATTTCAATAGACATTGTCGAGAACAAGAAAATATGTTATTTTCTGAACTGTTCAGAGACTTCAAGAGCTTCTGAGAATGTCTAGGCTTAGCAGCAACTTAGCATATCATGAAATGCTTCTGCAGTAGGTAATATCTTAACTTAACATAAAAACATAGGTAACCAGAAAATACTGCACTCAGACCAGGTTATCCTCGTTACCGTCCCCCTTCCCTCCCCGTGTAATATTACCGATATTACCCCTCCATCCCTCCCCTGTCCCCTGACGGGGCCCTCCTACTCAACACTGAACGATCGATACCCTCTGACAATATCGGCCCAGCGCCACCGTCAGAGCCGGCGGCGACCGGCCGACAGCTGACGCCGACCCTTACATCATCAGTGACGTCACTCAAATCACTACTGACGTCACTGATGTTAAACATCAGTACAGTCTGCAGGGACAGACGCGGTCAAGGAGGCAGAGGAATTCAATTTAAAACAAAATATGTTAGAACAGGCACTATTGGACGACAAGCACCGGCAAAGATTTTTAGATCACATGTAAGTTTGGAATACAGGTCAACTTTGAAAAACACTCAACATAAAGCCTGCCTCTTTCCAAGTTAAAAGCAGCCACTTAACCTTGACCTTTAGGTTCTTTAGCACTAATGACGGTGATGCTTCTTACACCAACCACCCTGACATTAAGCTTGGTATTCCACATTGACCTAAGCTAAGCCGGGCGTTAACTGTAGGGACTTTGCACCTCTGATGCAGCGGCACATTATTCCAGCCCCTGTGTTGAGTATCGATCGGTTCCGGGTTCATAGTCTACAAGCCCGGTCTGTATCTGAAACTAGCAATTCTGAGGACTGTGATAAGATTGCACATACGGGTTCATACATTCTCGCAAAATCCATCAATTTCAACGCAGCTTTCGAGGTTAACTGAACCGATTCATAGGTACAGATGAAAGAGCCAAGTACCTATCTGAAGGCAAGTGTAACAATGACCGATATAGTTAGTGGATGTCAATCGTTTTAACTGTCTAGTCAAAAATTGTGTGCGGATCAAATTATACATATCATGTTGACTGTTGAGTAGATATTCAAAGAAACATAACTTGGCTTTTCGATCGCTTCAGCGAGAAGTCTGTGCTTCAGCGCATTAGGAATTTGATACTTGCATCGACTTAGGGAATACAATTAATGATCAGTCGGGTGGGTACTTATATCGGAGTCATGCCGTACCTGCTCAAAGTTAATTTGATATACATCCAGTATTCATATAACGTAAGTTTGGAAAATTATTAGCATTGCAAATGGTCAAATTTGCTATAAAATAGCCTTAATTACGTTTGCTCATCCTCAGCGATTGAGGTCGCCGCGCGTTAGAGGCAATATAGTCTGAGGAGACGGGCGCACAGTGGTGCGATCAATACGGACCACTGAGAATAGAGAAAAACCCCGGCGAACGGGGCACCGGCGGACGGACCGGAGAAAAACGGCAAAACCACCGGACACACGACATACAGCGGCGGCGGCACGGCCGAAACAAAAACCAAGGACCATTCTGCTGCATCAAAAAAGTAAAACAAAAATAAATAATGGCAAACGCCACGCGACGATCGACAGTGTGGATAAAGTAAATCGATTTCATTAAAAAGGCATGGGACTTTCCCATCCGTTCCAATAATAAACGCTGCGCGAATTCACGCAAGGCTCTATCTGTAACTTTGAAATGCTTGGCATTATAATTGAGCATCACGTGGCTTGGTTCGTGTAGCTATTGGTCTAAGGTTTATTGCCTCAGCCAATATCATGTGTACCTTAAGTTTCACGTAAGTAGATTTCAGGTCTCATTCCACCTGACGTGCCAGGTCTGATCCCAGGTGAGCTGCCAGGTTTCACCGATCAACAGCTCGACTCGTGTGTAATCTCAACTACCAGGTTTGACCCCACCTGACCTGCCGGGGTGTGACCTCACATTGACCCACGACCTGACCTGGCGACCTTTGTGACCGGCTGGGAGTCCACCCGACCCCGCCACCACCGGTTCCGGTCCCCACCGCCACACCAGCCCAGAGTCACAAAAAGTCGGTACAGTCGAGTCGACCGCAGCCGACCCGTGCACTCAGAACACGGGCCGCGGTCCCACCGACCGAACTGCCACCTGGCGGCCGAAGCTGAAACCAGTCGGAGGGAGGGCCAGAACTCGGCTCTGTGAGCAGAGAGCGGAGGCCGGGGAGTACCACGCAGTTCTCATCGGCGGAGATAGCTAGTTGCATCTGGTGAGTAGAGTAGTAAATTGAACATCAACAACAGAAAAGATCTCCACTCATAAGGTAACAAATCAAACGAGACGATCCCGTTCAAATGATGCTCGCCGGTTTACCCATCGGCGCCATGGCTTAGTTGGTTAAAGCGCCTGTCTAGTAAACAGGAGATCCCGAGTTCGAATCTCGGTGGTGCCTCTTTTCTCACGTTGGTGACGGACCAGCGAAAGATTTTCAGTGGTGAGGTGAGGTGAGGGGGATCATAGTGAGAAATCCGCAGCTCTACCCCCGCAGCCCGGGTTCGACATCTGCAGCTCTACGGGCGCCTGCAGTGGACGTCATGGCTGCGCACGTATCCGTATCTATGGTGCTGAGCCTGACCGTGAAATCGGCTGCGCAGATTCGGCGTCCCAAAAATACCACATTCTCAGCGCATTAGCGCGAACACTAGCATGCACTGAGCAGGGCTATGGCGAGAGAGGAGGGAGCGATCACCAAGGACCGAGGAGGGATACGATCACCATGATTGCCGGTAATAGCTCATATCCATCGGGCTAGAAAAACGGTATACAGTACCCGAGTTTCCGGCTGTCATCCAGGTAGAGTGCATTTCGATGGCGATTGGCAACCATCCCGCCTCCTGGCACCGTCAGATCAGAGATGATTCAGCGGAAACCAACAGTTTCAACACCATACCTACACCTACCAAATCACCAGCTGCCTTAGGTTTGCCGCCTGCTAATAGCTATCAATAGTTATTGTTTTTAATCAAGTAGTCAACTAATTTGCTCACCGTGGCTCAGATTGCGGCCAGCGGTCTCTGAGAGGTGGTGGCGCGTTATGAGCTGCTGAATGAGCGCAGCTACCCCGCCGGTCGGGGCAGTCACTTTGGGATGGATCGATAGCCGCCTGCAGTCGCCCAGACCGGCCCCTGACGCCGGGCAGGACAGACTGTACAGACACTGGCAGACTGGCTGCCGACATCAACAAACTGCTCACAGACGCCGACACTGACATCGTCAAGTAACATATTTGACCTCCAAAGTTTCAATGAAAAGTCATTGTTGCGACAGTGACAAGGAGTGCCACTTGACAAATTGGTGCAGTCTTCATCTCTTATTTTGTTCTTGTCTGCTTTTATCATATATTGTTTTCTAAGATCGAGCTAATGAAGGCCATGCAAGCTGCTGAGTAAAAAGGGCTAATTTTTATGTGAGGCCAGGTCAGCAGTGGGCTCTGGAAGGCAAGCTGTAAGGGAAAGACACCAAATATTTTGGTGTGTGACAGAACAATTTCAATCAAATTATAAAAACAGCATTTTAATGTCATCATAAATAGCAGCAAAGATGCCATTCTGTGCCCTAAGCTCCCTAACAAAAAGCCCATGGTGTCCGCCGTTTTCCAATGAGAGCAAGAGCGGCTGGGGAGCCGCGCGGCCCTCATTGCCTCAGCGGCGGCCTCCCCTCACCCTCTCTCCCTGCCTCCCGTCCTCTGCCCGAGTACAGCGTAACTTGGCAGGCCAAACTCGCACCGGCTCGGCTCCGACGGCGCGCACCGGTCGATACAGATAAATAAAATAAGGAAAAACGGCTGCTTTTAAACTAACAGTGCCGTACAGTGTTCTGTACCAATATAGGTCAACACAGCCTCACTATTCAGCCAGAACGAGACCCGAGCGGAGTCGCCAAATAAAGAACCCGCCAAACAGCACCGCATAAGGCACGCCCGATATTACGCCCAGCACCGTTCGGGCTGAAAAAGGACCCGGCTTTGAAACGACGGCTACATAATTTAGAACGACAAGAAAACGTAGAGCTATTTTAAATTAAAAATGAAAAACATTTATGATAAGGGAAAACATTTAACGATACAAAAAAAAATATATGACTGGCATTTTAATTTATAAGCACTAAGCAAGATAATCGATAAAAAGTGCAGGCATTTCACAAAGAAACGTGGATGAATTATGCCGAGAATGGAATTACATACATACAAATACATACATACCTTACATACATACATATTATTGGTCACATCGGTCTGTCTATCCATTAGCACGGTTAGGAGGTGTAATTTCGATAAATAAATACAAGGACCAATGGCATAAAAAACACAAAAATATAGGTAGGTATGCATCTAAAATGTAACGCCTCATTAATGAAAAGGTAGGTATGTCAGCAGTACCTAATGCCAGTGCCGGTTTCGGAGAACAGGGCCCGGTGACAGTCGGTCGAGCGGTCGGCTCCGCTGGGAACGGGCGCTATCAGTTCAGGCGAACGGCATCCGAGCCGACCGGATCAATGACGCCACGACCGACCATCAACGAACAACGAACAACGAGCGAGCAACGAAAGATCACAGACCGACGGTCAACGACCGACGGCCAACGGAAGACCAACGAACGACGATCAACGGCGAACGATCGACGAAAGACCAGTGACCGATGACCGGTCAATGACCGCTGGAAAACGATCGACGACCGACGAAAGACAAGGACCGACGCCAAACGACCAAAGGTCAAACGCCGACGGCAAATGACCAATGATCGTCGCTGACCGCATGGCCATTGACCGACGATCAAATGAAACGACATACGGCAAACGACCAGCGACCAACGACTCATCCCACACGATCGGTCACAGATCAACCAGAATGAATAAACGGTCAGCGACCCCGAGCTGGTGCCCATCCGCTTATAACCCAAACAAAGACACGGCTGCCAGAAGCCAAAATACCGCCGGTCTTTGTTACAGTCGCCGACCATCGAAATAAATAGGTCAATGCTAGGGTCACGGTCAATGCTAGGGTCAATGAGGTCAATGCTAGGGCCACATGTCAGGTCACGGCCCATGGAGGTCAAGGTCATGGATCAGGGTTAGGTCAAGGTCAGGAGTCAGGACAAAGATCACTGGGGGTCAGATCCAAGGCCTGAGGGTCAGTGACCAGGTCAGAGGTCAAGGTCAAAGGTCAAGGTCAGCCTGTGGACACTCAGGGGACCATTGTGTGAGTCAGGTCGGTCGGGCCCTCGGTGACCAGTTGGTGATCGGGCGTGTGTCCGTCTCGCGCTCGCGCTCGCCCGTCACCCACCTCTCCGTGGCAGTCGAGTCGTCCGTCGGGCGTGTGCTCGGGCAGGAAGTAGAGCCGCAGACAGGCGAGCCGCTCGTCGCAGCCGCTGTCGTCGAACACGGCCAGCAGCTCTGCCACCGCCACATGCTCGGCCGCCGCCGGCCAAAGGCGCGCGAAAAAGAACTCGCCCAGCGCCAGCACGCGCCGCCGGCCGCCGCTGCCGCAGCCGAAGCTGAACGCCTTGTAGAAGGTGTAGGAGCCGTGCTGGCCGCACGACGAGCCCACCATCTGCCGAACGGGGCGGGGGGGGGAGTCAGTGGGGCGGGCGGAAGGTCGCCGGCCGCCGACTGGGGAGGGGAGGGGAGGGGAGGGAGCGCGGCGGCGGGGAGCGGGGGGACGGGTAACGTAGGGAGGGGAGGGGAGACAAGAACGGTGGGGATGGGAATGGGGTGGGAGAGGTATAGGGGTAGGGAATGGGAAAGGGGACGGAGGGGAGGCGTCAGGAGCGGGGAGGGTAACGTCGGGGCTGGGGCTAGGGTGGGAAATGTTGATACAGTGGAGGGCTATCGGCGGACGGAATGCGAGGTCAACGTTCGACCCGAAACGACCAAACTCAAAGTACCGTTCGGCATACGAGCACAACTTGGTGAAGTTGGAAGCTCAGACGTTCACCGAGTATAAACGTTGAAAATGGGGCTAATAATTGATAAAACTTCACATATTTTGTCGTTACAGTAAACTTACAACAAAAACCATGTATGAGCAGTTTAAAATCCAGCAAGAAAATGATTGAAAGTATCCACTTCAAACGATAGTGGAGGGGTACGAACTACGAACTGAAGCTTGCGCCCGACCAAGGCAGTATATGCCCGCCCGACTTATCATTATGGCCGGAGTTCAGGGCAATTTGCACGTAGATCGATAACTCGTAACGGAATATTTAAGTGTTCATGGAAGATAAATGAAATGAATGTGCCAAGGATGAACGATAAGATACATTTTTGATGAAATAAAAAAACGAAAATTTGCATTTTCTGATGTTAAAAAATTAAATCAATTAGAAACAATTAATTAATTTTGAGCATCATACTATTCAAGAAATATGAGGAAGGGATCCAGCCAAATAAGCCCTCTCGGCATCTCTCGCCGAGGCCAAGCGAAAAGTGAACGACTCATGCCAACGCCCGCCACAGCAATGAAGCCAGACCGAGACCGAGACTGAGACAGAGACCAAAACCGACGAGGGAGCGAGAAACAATGGCATCAAACACTGCAACCCAAACAGTAAAATAAGGAAAAATAATACCAAATTGTTCACCAATATTTCAGCTTCAAAACGAATCCAAAGGCTCACCTGCACTCGCTGATTAGACATTTTAAATTCAATTTCGACACATGCACACACATCACCATCGACGCGAGCGCACGCTCCCCGGTTCTATTTACTGTAATTGCGTGGTGTCCGACCAGGACTACTAGTATCTAATTTGCTCGCTAGATGTCACAAACAGCAATAGAGTTGGGCATCCACTTTGTCGTAAAAGTTACTCGTATTCGATGTATAAATGTATTTGATCTCTTCTTAGCAAATAAAATGAAATCATTTCGTCTTTTTTCCAGAATAAACTCATTTCAAATTCCACTCATATCCAAGCGATTTATCAATTTTAAATTCAAAAAAAAGAAATTGTGTTCAAAATAGCGGATACACCTCCCAAGTACTTCAATCTGTCGACAACATTAGCGCAGTTGAGTCGAAAACTGGCTATGGGACTTTCGTGGGACTTTCTTATGTTTAATTTTGTCATTATAGAGTTCAGTGAATTTTGTATACCAATATGTGAAAATATTTTGAATATTTATCAGCTTGCAATGCATCAGCTATTCTGCTAGTTACCTCTCCTCGAATTCTCGTTAGAAACATTCAATCAAATAATAAATGCTTAGTGTGAACATGCCAATGCTCTGCGCGCCTTGCCGGCCCTGTGCTTTCAAGCTTGGACCCTGAATTAATGCTACGTCAACGTGAATGGCCAATTAATGCTCATCGAAGGCATTTATTCAGGCAATTTCATTCAATAAAAAGTTGGGTAGATACCAGTTAGGCAACCAATGTAATTAACCATGGTCTAGATACTGAGTGTGTCATTTTTCATTCTTGTTCTCATCCAATACACTTCAACTTTGATCCCAATCCTAGCCAAAGGCATAGGCGGCGGAATGGGGAGGGCACCGGGCACTGTGCCCCCCTTTGATTTTGGCATTATAACATTAGCCCTATTGGTGTTGCATGGAAAGAATGGGACCAAGTCGGCAGTGCCCCCGCCCCCTCGCTTAATTGAAGGTGTTCCGCCGCTACTGGCCAAAGGGCCGATCGAAGCAGTCTCATTCTCAACAAAGATCAGTAAGCTTCAGCTTGATTGGAAAGTATGAATGGATGGACTGACAGTTTAACCTTTCTCCATTGAAGTTTTGCAAAATTGATCTGGTTTTGAGTTACTTATTTGAGAAAATTTAAACTGAAGATACAATTTTATTGTATGCTGTCACCATTTAATATCATTTTCTGTGCATTGATTTAGGAGTTAGCTGAGGGTACTTCTGGTCATCTGTTCATGGGTGACAGATTTGTAGATGAAAAGTTAAGTTTTAAAGTAATTGTATGTTATGTTTGGTTTATATTCTGGCTCTCTTATGAAACTGTAAATGCAAAGTAATCTCAAATATTGGAAAATATGCCTGCATTTGAATCTCTCTGGGAGTATTTACCTATTTTTAATGGTGAACACTTTGTAATCCTCAGACTGCAAATTATGGCGGTGGTTTCAACGAGCCACACTGGCCAGTCGCTTTTGCAACTGGCCAGGGTGACAAAGCTAGACCAGCCCACATCAGCCAGGCACCATCAAATGACACCAAGCAAGTTTCACATCAAACTTTTTCACATCAAGTCTCACGTCAAACAACATCAAGCAAGACCTACAATTTTTGCTTTGGAATTTAAAAATATGTGCTCATGATGACACTTAAGTGCAATAGGAGAATGAGGTTAATTTTCCCTGGCTGACCTCATTGCATTTCTTGTGCACAAGTTTTTTTTACAAAACTCAGCACAGAGGCTTAGCATGGTACCACCAACAGCCTGCACCGCTCCACTCTAACTTCACACCACTGACCACTCCATAATCTGCACTGCAAAGTGTGCCACTGCACCAAGTAGGTACATACAAATGAGATCTTGTTGAGATTGTCATGTTTTGCAGACTGGGCTTCAGGTGTTTTAGTACTGGGTGCTGGCCTTCCCTCAGCATATGTAGAAAATGTGAATCATGATTAGGGCAAGCTAGAACTGCTGTGCAGTCATTTGTGAGATGTTTCGATTTCGACTTGGATCTAGATGTAGAATTGTGATCGACTTCTGAGCATTGAAATAGATAAGATCTATTTAAATGTGTATATCTTTATTTTACCAATCTATTTGATGCCTCGCTTTTGCTGACAAGATACTATCTAGAGTCTATGTGTAAAATGAAATAAAACTAAGTAAAGTTCAAAACACCCCAGCCACGGCATATTGCAACATAATCAAGCAAGGGTGATGCCCCAGGGCCCCTCCCGTGAACATCCACGTTTGGGTCGGGTGCAGGATGTTTGTTACACCAGCCGTTCCTTCAAGAACATGCTCCCGCCCCAGCATCTCTTGCTAATCAGCGTCCTGTCTTGTAAGGTCTCTCAGCCACAAACCTCTGCTACCGTCGTATTGACCCCCCCCCCCCCCCCCCCGGTATTGGTCGCCTTGCGATTAGAGCGCTGAGCCTGCTGCCGGGTGTGCCTGGGTGCGGGAACACGCGGCCTGCCTTCACGGATAATTAGTGAAGCCGTGGTCGAGTAATTAATTATCAGCTGGTCTACAGCAGCACTGCGCTCGTCTCCAGTACGAGTTCATCCTGATGATCGAACGGCACGGAATCGCCACTCCCCGTGTGGATTGTCCATGATGGTAATACATACATACATACATACATACATACATACATACATACATACATACATACATACATACATATATACATACATACATATATACATACATACATACATACATACATACATACGTGCTACCATGACCTGCCCAGTGCCCACTGGGCGTTACGGGTGGATACGGTTGATTTTGTAACCAGTCGACTAAACGATACTGCCTACACGTCTGACGTAAACTCCATGCGGTATTTCCTCAGTTTAGTTGATAACACATCGTATCGCATCATAAATATATTTGATTTCCTCCAGTTTTTCTCTTACAACTACAGAGTCTTGCGGTTATCCAGCTGTCAGCTATCGACTGGCTTCTGGACATCGCTAAATCGCCCTCCGCTGGCTAGTCGTGGAGGTCGTCGTTTCGTCACCGCCGGCTGTGGCCGACTCGTCTCGTATCTGTCGGAGGTGGCCAGGAAGTATCGTCCGCTGTTGACGCACCGGGGGCGTTACGCAGTGCCACAGATTCCACGGGCAATGTCTGGGATCCTCGGTCATGGCCGGCAGTCGCTGTCCTAATACCTATTTGCTACCAACACCATTTTTCACTTTCCTGGCCTCGTTACAGTTTCCTTTCAAATCGCTGCAATGAAACCTCATCTATCTGTGTTATCCACCCAGTCTCACTGCACCCAGTGCGACCCTGGTTGGCGCAGTGTTCGGCGTCGGTCCGTCTAATAGTCGCCTCCCTCGTCATCCGAGTCGTCCGACAGACTGCTGGGCATGTTCAGACCGAGCACCAGGCCGAGCGCCATGACAGCCGCCTGGAGCGCCACCGTGGCGGCCAGCATGTCGCGCAGGCTCACCAGGCCGTCCATCAGCTCGCGCTTCACCTGCAGACAGCCGGTGCGCCACACAGCGCTCACCGTGCCGTTAGCCAGCGTGTGCGCGCGCGCCGTGCACGGCGGCCGCACGTGCTGGCCGTACTGGTGGCCCTCGTCGCGGCAGACGCAGCTGGGCGGCGTCTGCGCGTTCAGCAGCTCGTAGTCGGCCGGCCCCTCGATGCCGCAGCAGAAGGCGCGGTGCTGGAAGAAGCGCAGCTGGTGCAGCGCGCGGCTCTCCACCCAGGCGCTGCGCCGTCCCAGGTCGTCGACGGCCGGCGCGCCGGTCGACGGGCCGCCAGTGGTGTCGGTGCCGTTGCCGCTGGCCGCCGGGGCGGTGTCGTCGGTCGCCGGCTGCGGTGTGGGGTCGCCGTTGGCCCGGGGGGACGGTGTGCCGGTGGGACCGGCCGTGCTGGGCAGGCTCGGAGCCGACGGGCCGGCCGTAGTGCTGCCGCCGCCCGCCGGCAGCGGGTAGTAGGCGGCCCAGGCGCGTATCTCGCCCCGCCAGTACTCCTTCGAGACGTTCTTGTGGTAGATGGTCAGCACGCGCTTGTTCCTGGCCAGCGGACCGAGGTCCAGGCCGAACTAGAAGAGAAGGCACGGCGTCAGAGAAGGCACGGCTTCAGTACCATCCTAAATGGTATCACCTAAACGGTGATACCATTTAGGCCTGGTCCCAAAGAGATAGTTTTGTTATAACGACCAGTGATGATGACAATTACAGGTTACCATCTGAAAGTCTATGAGCTCCGATTTTATTAGATGCTTTTTCATCTTCGGTTTTTAAGTAAAGATAAAACAGGGGAAACAAAAATGTAGGTCTTGACCATTCTCTCCCATTTCTTTCCCAATGGTTGTAAGCCGATGCAGGGTGACTGGTACGCTACTTACATGACTTGACATCAGAATTCCGACGGCCAAGATGTTGAGGATGAGCAGCGTGGACAGAAATGCCGAGCTGGAGAGAACGATCAGCTTGCTCACGGTGCATATGCCGTAAATGAACGACAGCACCAAAAACACCGTCAGAATTCCCACCGACACGATGTTGAGGAAGGCCGCCGTCACCTGTTTCTCCTTCTCGAAGATGGGTAGATGGGTGTAGATGTGGAGGCATCTAGTGGTGTAGTACTCGGTGGCGGCCTGCAGCAGCACCCAGGCGCCGAACGACAAGTAGAAGACGGTGCGGAACCAGCAGGGCGGCGCCGGCGGCTGGTGGATCCGCGTCGTCACAGACTTTTTCCGATCCATCCTGAAGTGTGCTTAACCTTACCTCACCAGCGATTATGCAAAATCACTCACGCACTAACTTCCTTTATCGCTACAACATCCAGTCTTCCAGTGTTTTAAGATGCAACTTAAATTTGATATCCACCCCAACCCTAACACACCAATCGAAAAATTAAAACGGCGATGACGGGCGATGACGGCGATGTGCTAATTTCCGTTTCTAGCAGCCTCGATGTTTTCTTATATCGGCCACGTGCCGGTGTCGTAGACGATCCGTCGACTGACTGACTGTCTGACTGACTGACTGACTGACTGACTGACTGACTGACTGACTGACTGACTGACTGACTGACTGAGACTGACTGACTGACTGACGGACTGACTGACTGACTGACTGACTGACTGACTGACGACTGACTGACTGACTGACTGACGGACTGACTGACTGACTGACTGACTGACTGACTGACTGACTGACTGACTGACTGACTGACTGACTGACTGACTGACTGACTGACTGACTGACTGACTGACTGACTGACTGACTGACTGACTGACTGACTGACTGACTGACTGACTGACTGACTGACTGACTGACTGACTGACTGGTGACCGGTGTGGGCAGCAGGGGTCGGAGGGCGCTACTGAGGGAAGACTCGGCCCGCCGCCTCTTCATCACCTCGTCTCGCGCCGACCACCGCGCCGGCGACACGCGGCGAGCTTCCTATTCACAGTTATCCTCGGTGATAAGACCCCGCCTCCTTCAGCCTCCGCAGTCTGCATGTGACATTTGGCCCTGAGGGCTTAGCATTTATTAAAAATATAAAAAATATAAAAAATGTCTAGTGCTTCCGCACCTACTAGCCCAGATTATTATGTTTTTGTGCTATTGTGTTTTGCTTTGTTGCGTTGGTAATTTTTTTTAGGCGACGCCGATGGGCGATGCTTGACTGTTTAACACCGTGTTCCATTATGTCAACAGCTCGTTCTGGTGGCAGTCAGAAGACGGCTTTGTTGTTTCATCTTGTCTCGTTGTTTCCTCGTTTTCTCTCCTCTCGTTTTTCAGTCGTCTTTAATCGTTCCCTCGTGTACACAACATATGGATATTTACTTGGGAAGAGGGTATCTCGGGTACAATTGAGCTCTTCTCTTAATCGGTCTGTTCATTCTAGGCGAAAGAAAAAAAAAACGGATCCCACTTGTCTGTTTGTATTATTGCGATGACAGAACATTACGAACTACTTCAGGCTCATCTAACGTTGGCAGATTGACAATGTCTTGTCACAATGTCTTCATTATCGCAATGGACATCAACATGTTACATTCAGCGGCTGACAACTATATGAAGACCGTCCTCTATGCGGCATCGTGCCGAATGTCCGAGCCATTTCAGCAGTGGAGCCTACCACCATTCGTGGGGGGCTGCCCTGCCGCTACTTCTGGTGCCGAGCCAACTCATCAGGCTCGTCAGTACCTCAGTAGCCGGTCTGTCCGGCGGCCGCTCCGCAGTTGAGTTTCTCAATGTTGGCCACGTGCTGTCCGGGCACGTCGAGCCTCCAGTGTCCCGTGGCGCGCTCGACGCAGTGACACTGGGTGCCTAGACACTGGACGGGCGCGTAGTCGCCGCGATCGTCACAGCGCACGGTCAGGCCGCGCACGCTGGACGTGTGCAACTCGTGCTCGCGGCGCGCGCAGTCTGAGGGCAGAGAGACCAGGAAGTGGTCATTGAGAGGGTCTAAGTCAGCAATCGTAACGGGACAAAACCAGAATCATTATTGTACAGAGCAGCGTCGGGCGTTGCTCTGCTAGAGTTGATGGCAGGTGACGCCGTCTGTTTATCTACTGCTCGCTACTCACGGCAGGAGCCACCTCTGTCTTCTATCTCTCGGCACTCACGGCAGGTGGCGCTGCCTGGCTCCCGGGTACTTAGTACTAACGGCAGGTGGCCTAGTCTCTATCGTTCCCTCAGTACTCACGACAGGTGGCGCTGCCCCTCGGTACTACTCAGGGCAGGTGACCTCTCTATCGTTCCCTCAGTTACTCACGGCAGGTGGCGCTCTGTCTGTCTGGCTGTCTCTCTCTCGGTACTCACGGCAGGTGGCGCCGGCTATCTGTCTCCCTCAGTTACTCACGGCAGGTGGCGCTCTGTCTGTCTATCTGTCTGTCTCCCTCTCGGTACTCACGGCAGGTGGCGCTCTGCCTGTCTGTCTGTCTCCCTCTCGGTACTCACGGCAGGTGGCGCGGTCCGCCGGCCGGGAGCGGTACGGCAGCTGGCCGCCGTCCGGGTCCACACAGTAGCACGTGTCCCCGCGGCACTGGAGCGGCGCGAACGTGCCGTCGGCGGCGCACACGGGCTGCCGGTCGGTGCCGGCCAGTCGGCGCGCCGAGCGTTCACAGTACGCCGGCTCCGTCAGCGGCTCCGACACCGGCGGGGCCGGACGGCCGGGGGACGAGTGGTGCTGCTGCTGCTGCCGCACCCGGCGGCCAGTCTCCGTGTCCACCTGGGCGGGACGGCGACGGTCAGCGTTTGGGGGACAGTCACGAGCGAGTGGAGTCAGCTGTGATGCCCTCTGCCATCCGTTTTGAATCCCACGCTGAATGAGGGTTTAGAGGACCCTCAACAAATTCCTATCGCGACACAATATAGTGCCGTTTTAACTGGTATGCGCTAACAGCAGCCTGCACTCCCGTACTTGATAGCAACCGGAGCCGATTTTTCCCTGCGTTGCCTCACCTGGAAGCAGCTGGATCCGGTGCACTGCTGCGGCTCGTAGTTGCCCAGCCGGTCGCAGCTCACGGACCGCCCGAGCAGCCGTTTACGGCGCAGCTGCCACTGCTCGCGGGCGCAGTTGCAGTGCATCTCGGACGAGCGGCTGATGGGCGCCATGTTGCCCTCGATCTGCTCATTGGCCGGGCCGACGCACCAGCACTGGCTGCCCTGCGGACGCAGGGTGCAGAGGGTCGTCAGTGACACTCCGTGAGCGCAGGATGTATTGTCCTCGTTAGACGGCCAGTAAAGTCAAGCGATATCCGATTGTGCGTCGTGTGTCTGACTTTGTCGCGCTCCATTTTCCTTTCACTCCTCTTTCATCCCTTTCTCTTATTCCCTTGCAGAGCTGCTGTGGGGACTGAGGATTCATAGTCGTACCCACCTCCAGCATTTGCACTATCATTCACGTCGTCCCCATCCGGTTTTACCTTGCACTGTTTGGCGGCGTACTGTCCGAAGAGGTCGCACTCTGGGGGGCTGGCGCCGAGTAGCGGCCGGCCGCCGGCGTGTGTCTCGGTGCGGCGCTGCTCGTCCCAGCACGGGTGGCTCGAGCGGTGACTGGGACACCAGTCCTCCCGACGGTGCAGCTCAGAGACGTGCACGCTCTGTGACGTGAGACACGAGCGGGCGGTGAGGGTAGGACAGTGTCGATGAACGAACGGACGGTCATGGCAGCTCAGGAAACACACGTTCTACTTACAACGGCAAGAAGAGTCAGCTACTCGTATGATCTAACAACCTGTCAAAAAGGCGATTAACTTTATGAGTCTCTTAAGAATGATTGTAAAGTCCTATACCCGCACAATGAGGAACACATATCGTCATTTCATGCATCGCTCGATTGATCGATAGTGAGAAAACGGACGTTTGTCTGCTGTCATCTCCTCCGTCCGCTCACGTGATGGCAGCTCACCTCGGTACCCTCCACCCTCTGTCCGGTCACGTGATCGACGCAGATGCACTGTGAGCCGGTGCACTGTCGTGTCTCGAAGTTGCCGAGGTCGTCGCAGACGGCGGACACGCCCACTCGGCCGGAGCGGCCCAGATCGTACCGCAGCCGGGCGCACTCTGAGGGAGAGGTGGGTGGTCACTGGTCAGTGGCAGGGCACATACACAGCTAAGGACACTTCAGCTCAGGTCAGTGCATAGCACGGAGAAGGGGTCAATGTTACCACACAGTTTAGAGTATGTGCCTTCTGGTCGGGTCACTAGGTGAGTGTGTGTCTGCAAAGCGCATGGGATACCGACCCATGTCTAGTCACTGCTCAACTGAATAGGTCACCGTTTGTGCAGGTGGGGTGGAGGTATACTTACGGCACTTCATGTCGGGACCGTCCCAGATGTTCCTGACGAAGTTCTCGATGGTGTTTCCGGCCGGGTCGACACAGCGGCACTGAGAGCCCTGGAAATCACAACGAACGTCAGTCCATGTCACGGCAGTGAATGTTGATGTTGATGCGGTAATATACGAGGCAAAATAAATGGGCAACGAGCAACAAATGATAGCTGGCTAAAACGTGTTTATCCTACATATCTTCCAATCATTTTACCGAGGCGATAGGTTTTTTCACAACCATAAGACAGAATAGGGTGATCTGGCTAGGATTGATACATAGGCCGTGCCTTTCCCGGATTTCGTGGGCCTCAGTCGCACCCACCTGACACTGTTTGGGCAGGTAGCCGCCGCTGCGGTCGCACTCGGGCAGCACGAACCCGTCCCCGGCCTGTCCGTGGTCCATGAACTGCATCATGCGGCTGCGCTCCTGCCAGCAGGGCGTGCTCCCGCCCAGCAGCTGGGGGCCGCCGCCGCCCGGCGGGGACCGGCTGACCCCCAGCGGGGGCCGGCCGCCGCCCAGCAGCCGCCGCGTGCCGCTGCCGCCCTCTCCGGGACGGACCCGCGTGCCGCTGCCGCCCTCACCTGGACGGACCCGCGTGCCGCTGCCGCCCTCACCGGGTCGCACCCGCGTGCCGCTGCCGCCCTCACCGGGTCGCAGCTGATCAGGGTAGCCGGTACCACCGGAGTGACCAGAGCCGGAGCCGCCAGAGTGGTCAGTACCGCCAGAGTGGCCGGATCCTGAGCCACCTGAGTGTCCAGAGCCTGAACCTCCTGAATGACCGGAGCCGGAGCCTCCAGAGTGACCTGACCCAGAGCCTCCTGAGCCTCCCGAATGACCGGACCCAGAGCCGCCGGAATGGCCAGAGCCTGAGCCTCCCGAGTGGCCTGAGCCTGAGCCTCCAGAATGACCAGATCCAGAGCCTCCTGAATGGCCGGAACCAGAGCCCCCTGAATGACCGGAGCCTGATCCTCCGGAGTGACCTGAGCCTCCTGAGTGGCCAGAGCCAGAGCCTCCGGAGTGGCCAGTTCCTCCCGACTGTCCGGAGCCGGAGCCGGAGTGTCCGGTCCCTCCGGATTGTCCGGAGCCTCCCTGTCCGCCGAGCAGAGGCCGCCCCCCTCCCAGGAGCGGGCGCCCGCCGCTGCCCGGAGCCGGTCCGGAGCCGGAGCCGGAGCAGTCGAGCGCGCTCAGCTGGGCGATGTGCACCGACTGGGCCGACACCTGTCCGCCCGTGTGCGGGTCCACGCAGAAACACTGCGAGCCGCGGCACTGGCGGCGCTCAAAGTTGCCCAGCGAGTCGCAGTTGGTGGACGTGCCCACCAGTCCCAGCGCGCGGGTCTCCTCCTTCAGACGGGCGCACACTACCGAACAGAGGGGGTGGGTCAGTAAAGTCACCTTTATCGCTAGTCTATGACAGTATCCCGATCATTCATAGCGTAAGACTATACACGGCTGTGTATCCCTCCCGGCCCCTCTGGCTCACCGCAGTGCATCTGGTGCTGGTGCTGCCGGCCGCCCTGGTAGCCGCTCAGCCGGGTCCCCTCGGCGTCCACACAGTAACACTCGGAGCCGGTGCACTGTCGGGGCTCATAGTGTCCGGAGCGGTCACACTGCGGCAGCTCGAGGCCGAGCAGCGGCCGCGCCGACGCCGTCTGCAGCTGCTCGCGGCGACTGCGCTCCTGCCAGCAGGGCTGCCGGCTGCCCAGCGCCGGCCGCTGCTCGCCGCACTGCAGGCTGGCCAGCTGGGAGACGTGCACGGTGCCGCCGGTGGCCGGCTGGCCGCTGGCCGGGTCCACGCAGTAGCACGTGCTGCCCTCGCACTGGTGGCTGTGGAAGCCGCCAAACTTGTCGCACACCACCGGGTGGCCCAGGCCGTCGCGCGACGCCTCATACGACCGGCGCGCGCACGCTGACGGAGGGAGGAGGAGAAACACGGCCGTTATGAAACGCCCGTCACAGTCGTTGTCGATGCTCGATACACACTCTTCCCAGCATTGCATTCTCATTGCACACTCTTCCCAGCATTGTTAGTCACAGTCGATAATTATCTGCAACAGAGCGCATTCAAAGTCGTGCTCATCCGGCTTCTAACTTTTGCGCCTGATTCATGCTGCACCGCATGGCTTAGTTTTCTAATCCAGATATTAGATGACTAGCATCTGCGCCTGTTTCACGCTGTGCCGTGGGGCTCAGTAGTTTCCTATCTGAGCAATAGGTGACGCTAGTGCCTGCGCCTGATCCATGCTGTGCCGCACGACACAATAGTTTCTAATCTCGACGATAGGTGGCACTAGTTTTCACGACTAATTCATGCTGTGCCGCACAACTAAATAGTTTCTAATCCCGACGATAGATGGCACTAGTATTCACGCCTGATTCATGCTGTGCCGCACGGATCAGTAGTTCCTAGTGCGGGCGCTAGACGGCAGTACCATCTGCGGTACTAAATACTCGTACATGGTGGGAGTAGCTGCATGTAAGATGTTGGGTGAACGATGTGGTTTTCCGACTCACCGCATGACATGCTGGCTCTGTTCTGGTCCGGCTGTCTGTAGCCCTTGAGCTCCTCCCCGTCGGGCGTCACACAGTAGCAGAAGCCGCCGGCGCACTGGACCGCGGCGAGGTTACCGTCTCGGTCACACTCGGGCTGCGGCTGACCGGGAAGAATCTGCAGACGCAGCTCCTGGCACGACCGGGCGCCGCCGAACAGCCTCCGCCGGTGGGCGGCGCAGTCGAGGCTGCGCAGGTCAGCCACGTGCGCCTCCAGGCCGGGCAGCCGCTCGCCGGTGACGGCTTCCACGCAGTGGCACCGAGAGCCCACGCACTGGTGTGGCGCGAAGTTCCCGAGCTGGTCGCAGTTGACGCTCAGGCCGAGCAGACCGCCCTGCTGCAGCTCCCACTCGCGGCGAGAGCACAGGCAACCCATGGCGGCGCCCTGGGCGCGGCTGGCGCGGTACCGCGGCAGCGGGGCGTTGTTCGGGTCCACGCAGAAACACTCCGAGCCCTGTAACCAACGATGGGCTGTTGGAATTTAGACAGCTACACACAGACCACAGCTAAACGGTCTGACCACACAACAGATCGTAAAGTTCGCCTAACCATTCAATCACCTGTCCTATTTACTTACAGCTTCGATTGGCACGAGCGCGATTCAAATATGCTTTACGGTTTTGCCTTCGGCATGAAAAAGAATTGAGAGCGAAGTCCCTAGCAGACAAGCTCACACGTAATCCTTATAGTTTAGCAGCATTTTGGAAAGAGGTGCGGAAACTTAATGGTAGTGCCCCTCTTGCTCATTCGATTAATGGCATTTCGGGGTGTGACAATATTGCTTCAATGTGGCGAGATCACTTTTCAGAGATACTGAATAGCGTGAGCAGCGTTGATCGTAAAGAATTTGTTCTTCAGGAGTTTCGTGAGAGAAACCATCAGTTTGTGTGTATTTCTGTCCCTGAAATAATCGAGTCAATCCGGGAATTATCTTGTGGTCGCTCTAGTGGTAATGATGGGCTCAGTGCTGAGCACTTTAAATTTTCCGGTGTCTCCAGCGCAGTGCATTTATCTTTGTGTTTTTCCATGATGGTAAAGCATGAATATGTTCCACAAACATTTTCAAAAGTTGTACTTACACCCATCGTAAAGGATAAGTCGGCAAAGCTGTCAGATAAGGACAATTATCGCCCAATAGCTGTAGCCAGTGTAAGTTCCAAGATTCTTGAAAGGGTCATTCTGAAACGCTGTGATAGACAACTTGCGACTGGACACCATCAGTTTTGGCTTCAAAAAGGAACATTCAACCGACATGGCATATATGCCCTTAAAGAAATAAGTGACTATTATCTGCGAAATAGAAGTCCGGTATTTCTATGCTTTCTCGATGCACGGAAGGCTTTTGACCGAGTCAACCACTGGAAGTTATTTGCTATACTTCTAGAGAGGAAAATTGATGTGAGTCTGGTGAAGTTTCTTTCTTCGTGGTACGAGACTCAACAATTTTATGTTTTATGGGGTGGCTTGTTATCCGAAGGGTTTACGGTGACAAACGGGTAAGGCAAGGTATTATCTCCATATCTGTTTAATGCGTACACTGATGGTCTATCGACGCTTCTTGATCGGAGTGGTGTTGGGTGTCATTTTCAAGGTAGTGTAAATCATTTATATTATGCTGATGACATGGTCCTGCTCCCCTTCAT